TTCTACCACCGGCCCGAGGATCCGTTGTTACCTATTTTCCGTCGCGTTATTTCCGGCCGCTCGAGCGACGATCGATCCTCCGGGGACTGGCACCGAACCCGCCGCCGTGGTCGCGGCCTCGAGTGGCCGTTCGCGCTCGTTCTTCGGCGTCGCGATCGTCGGAGGAATAAGTATACATATCGATCCGGCGCGCGTCGCTGGCCGAAGAGTCCGCGTAACCCCGATTCTTCGACGAACGGGAGCCCGCCGTTCCACCACGAGTCGCGGTGGAAAGAAGACACCTGTGACCGATGGCGGTCTAATTGGTTATTATTAGGCTTGTCCCCGGCCGGAGGCAGGTGAGTTGCTTCTTTTCTCCTTTTAAGGGTCCGCCTGATACTGTATGTGGTAATTTTATTGCAGACGCGATTGGTACAGTTCAAGTTTCGTCGTTCGGCTTTGTACGATGGACACTTGTGATTTGTAAGTTGCTTCGCGTGCGAGGCTTGGAGCGTTGTACTTGGATTTTCGTTTGCTATTGTTTGATGTCACGTGGCTGCTGAATTTTCGAATTCTGCGGTTTTGGAAACGGGGTTGTAGAACTCTGGAATTCTAGAACTTTAAAACTCTGCAACTATATCATGGAACTTTATAACTCTAGAACTCTGCGACTTCGTAACCCTAGAACTCCGAAACTCTATAATTCTACAACTTTGAAACTCTAGAACATCATAACGTCGGATTTCCGTTTGTTTCAGTTATTCGATGTAACTCTGTGTCTGCGGAATTTTGGAATTCTTTAACTCTATAACCATAGAGCTTTATAACTCTAGAACTCTGCGACTTCGTAAGCCTAACACTGCGAAACTCTATAATTCTACAACTTTGAAACTCTAGAGCGTCGTCACCCTGGAACTGTACAATTCAAACGATAAATCCTCCAACTCTAGAATATTCTTGAATCGTAGCAACCGCTGCAAGTCATGCTCTAAAAACATCGAGACATCCATTTTATTAATACATTAGTTCGGAAACTCGTTCCCGCGAACGCGTACTACGTGTCTCGAGTATCGTCGACTCATACGTGGGTTTGGTGTCGCAACCGGACGAAATATTCCTCCGTACACGCGCCGGGGAACTCCTTATTACTCATCGCTTTCTCCGCTATCCCGCGACACCACGGTTCATTCTCCGACTACGCGGCCGGATGCTGGAACGTCCTGGAAGGATGAACAACGACGAGCCCGCCAGCCGGCAGCTGATTCTCCACGCTCGCTTGAAAAGGACTCCTCCGTCTGGCGAGTCGCCGGATTGCACGGCGAGTCCCCGGAGTTTCCCTTTTTATTATTAGCTTCTGTCGCCGGTACATGAGCTGGAAACTGTTCGAATTTTTTCCCGCGGACCTCCGGGGATTTTTGATCGTCGGACGTTCGCGCGAGTCGCGAGGAGAGAAATGTCGACGCCGCGATTAGGACGTTAGGAGGGAATTGTCTCGAAAGGAGGGGAGAAAAGAAGAGAAAAAGAGAAAAAATAGAAAGTCAGAGAGGATTTAGCTGCCGCGACGGGAAACGAGAACCTTAATTAACCGCGGTTTCTTGGAATTTGTCTACGCTGAACCGGGATTTGCATAAACGTCCGCAGTCTAATCGTAACGCGATAGAATGCGGTCTCTTATACCTCTTTTCCCTTTTTCGCGCGGTGAATGCCACGAGCGATGAAATATTTCATTTACATACCGGGTTTATAATTCCGCGATGGAAAACTCCCCGGTCCCGCGGGCTGTAAAAACGCGAATTCAATAAAATGATGCGGGGCAAATAAAAGTATATGCTGTCCGGCAAAAACCTCCCCGGCGACCCAGATAAAATTTCGAGAAAAATGATCGTAGGAAACGTCTCCTGTTTACGATCCCGCTGTTTTGATACGGTTCGAACTGCGCTCGAAGCGTTCCGCGCGCTATTAAAAATGAAAGAGCGTTTCGATCTTTAAATAAAACGCACCGTACAACTACCCGTAACTCTCCATCAAAAGCGACCATCGAGAGCACTGGAAACGGACGATCGAGGAGACATCATTGGACGGACGTAAAGAACCGTTTAATCTTTAAACGCGATTTCAGTCTTAACCGCCTCCGCGTCGATTACCTCGCGAACTGTTACTCGAAAACTGACACTACCGGTACATCGACTGCTACTATGTAGAACCTCGAGTGGCTTACGTGTCACACGTTCCTCCGTAACAAAGCTAAAAACAAACAACTGTCCTCTATTAAATACCTCGACTCTCGCGTTACTCTACCATCCGCTGAGTCCATCTATAAAACATTCCCATCAGACGTCAGCCGTCGTATCCTAACTGTTTCATCGATTCGGAAGCGGTCGCCAGCAACCGCTACGACTGTCCACGTATTGGATCACGGAAGTAACGTGACCCCTCGAGAACCAGGGGACGGCAAGTGCCCGAGGAACCGAAGACGCGGCCCGCGAGGATGATTTTTCCCGTTGTTCCAGGAAGATCCGCGCGGGCATCGCGATCGCGACCGCGCGCGTCGCTCTCCGGTTTTGTATCGGATTCTCGGGACGACCGCGCGGACCGGTCTCGTATTTCGCACCGGTTTCGCCCTGCTGCGGAGGAGAAGAGACCGCGGCCTCCATTCCGCCGCCGCGCAGAAACCGTTGGATTACGTTTACGCGGTCCGGCTCTTTTATTACAGCGGTTGCGCTTCCCCCGCGCGCCTTTCATCGATCCGGCCGCCGGTTCGAGTGTTTGCCGTGCCCTCGAGCCGGCTGCCATCCGTTTTACTATTTGGATATTGCTGTCGTTACTCCGGACAGAGGGCGAGAGAGAGTAGCGCAGACACGTCCGCGTCCGGGCGAGCTTGCGGGCCGGGTTTTTCGAACTTCCTCCGCGGCGAACCCGCGTAAAAGCATCCCCCGCGAGGAGGAGCGCGGTCCCTGCTAGCTGAAAGAAACCGGAAAGAGGCGAACCAACGCGGCGGGAGGGGCGGGTGGCGGGTGGCGGAACGGGAACGCGGCGATGATGGCGCGCAACTTCGTTTTTAAGTAATTGCCGACCCTTTCGAGAGCTTTCATCGGAACGAAAGGAAAGCGCGCTGCCGCGGAGCCTTCGGTTCGCCAGGCATTCTGGAGTCTCGATTAAGCGATTAAACGAACTCTCCCCTCCGCCGGCCGGTTCCCTCTTTCTCTCTTTCGCTTTTCCACCCTGCCCGCGCCACGCCGCGCCACCGCCATTATTAATTTACCGCCATTCTCCGCTTGCCGCTCTGGAATTTCTTCCCATTCTTTCGATCGCCGCTTCCCCGGCGTCTCGCCGTTCGCCCTTTCGTCTCCCATTTTTCATCGTTCCTCGCGTCGTTCCCCGCGGTCCCATTGTTCGGGCCGCGTCGACCGGCCCGCCCGCCGGAAATCGAGCCGGAACGAAAAGACGAATCGATTACGCGGCCCTCCGAGAAATTTCGAACCGTCCCGCCCTGTCTCTCTGTTCCTCTCCGGGCCTCCGGAGGAAGAGGAGGACGCGTTTCGCCGGCGTCCTCCGGTGCCGTGTCTCGATTTCGATGACAGTTGACAGCTCGTTAGCTACCCCCGGCTTCCTCCGGTGCTCCGAGAGGGGAACGCCGTGCGGTCACGGTCGTCTATTCCGGCTGTCGGGACGGCGCGCACGGCCACCAATTTTCGCGGATAATTTTCCGCGCGAATCTGTCTCCGGCGAATTTACTCCGCTCCACTATCATTCCTTCGTGTACCGCGCTTCCTGCCACCCCTTCCTGTCCCACCCCGACCCCGATGTTTCGTGTCCCGCGCTCGTAGATTCTGGCCGGCCGCCAGAATTAATTTCGCTCCTGAGACAGCCCCGACTACAAGCCATCTCCACGCGGTTTTTGCGGTCTCGCCGGAGATATTTAAAAAGATTTCAACAACACTCGACACGGTGGAAATCACTTTCCCCGTCTCCCCGCAATTCCTTCCGTCCCCGGACGCTTTCGAGGCCGAAACGGTTTCCGGCGACCGCAAAGCTACGTCGCGCGATCCAATCGATGGCTGTCGCCTATCCCGGGTTTGTTCCCATCGACGATCGAGCCACTCCCGTGGCAACAAAAATGCCGAGGGAAGATGACGCGGAGAGGTTGGACAGTGATTTCGTTCGTCCCGATAGACGCCGGAGAAAACGGCAGGTGTTCCGGCGCGGAGCAGCTGCAATCACGACCACCATCTGCCGCGGTAATGCACGCCTCTCCCGAGTCCTCCGGTCTTCGGAGAACCGAGACTGCCCTCCGGCTATCCATCCTCAATTAGACGCCACCTGAAACACGTGCCCGACTCGGAGGATCCGCGGATTTCGATGGCTTCCACCGTCTTTTCGCTCCGCGTCCTCTTTTTCCCCGGTGCCGCGTCAGCGTACACCTTTCCAGCTTCCCCGGCTTCCTTCCCGGTGCGCTTCATTATGCGAAGCTTCCGGCCCCGCGTTGTCATCGATCACCGATCGACGTTTTTCAGCGACATTTGGCGTCCACGACGAGGTTTCCTCGGCGTCGTCGCAAAAACGCGGACGCGTGCTGCGGGAAACGGGAGATCGACCGGAGGTGTCGCATCGCCGCTTGCTCTTTGCGAGCTTCTCCGCGGGGTTTGCTTCGGAAATGTTGTTCTTGGAAGATATATTATCAAAAGGTCCATAAAATTGTACAATATTTTACAATGGACATGATCAAATTATCGACGGAACAATCTCCGCGATGGTAACCGTTTTGCATACGAAGACAGCTCTCTACTTTGCCGAGCCCCTCAATCGTTCTGGCAGTCGTGTGGCGCCATCTTCTGTACTCCGTGTATCGCGCGGTGTATCCTTATCACGGCTATGACCTTTCCAACGATAACACTTTTGATAAACGCGAGTACAGGTCTCAGCTATGTTTAATCTGCGTTACCCTTTTATCTAGGCGGAGATAAGGGGAAATAAATAAAACTACTCCGAAGCTTTCTCCCTGACAAGCTTGATTTGTACTGCACGATCACCGAATACTATCCCGTAATACGTTCGGTATCCCGATGTGCTTTGGTATTGAGCGACGAGGGTCGAGGGTGAATCGAAGGGAAAGGAGTGGGTGGCGATTCAAACCGAGGAAACGCTCGTGGAAAACTCCGGCTCGCTCGGGGCGGCCGGGATCACGCCCTTACGCTCCATTTCCTGCTTCAGCCGGAACTTCTGCACTTTGCCGCTGCCCGTTTTCGGGAACTCGTCGAGGAACTCGACGTAACGCGGTATCTTGAAGTGCGCGATCTTACCCTTGCAGTGGCTCTTAAGCTCCTCCGCGGTGAGCCGCGCGCCCTCCCGGAGACGCACGCACGCGCATATTTCCTCGCCGTAAACGCGGTCGTAAGCGCCGATCACATGCGCCTCCAGCACCATCGGATGCGTCATCAAGAAGTCCTCGACCTCCTGCGGGGAAACGCGATTCATACGGGATAAGAGGAGGCCAAATATCGCAGCCAGTCACGGTAACCCGCGCTCACCTTCGGGAAAATGTTCTCCCCGCCTCTGATCAGCATGTCCTTCAACCTGCCAATTATGTGCCCGTAACCGTCCGGCCGTAGGATGAATTGATCGCCGGTCTTCAGCCAGCCATCTTCCGTTATGGTCTTCGCGGTGTTCTCCTCGTCGCCCCAGTAACCCTTCATGACGTTGTACCCGCGCACGCAGAGCTCGCCGACGGTGCCTAAGGGAACGGTTGCTCCTTTCTGGTCCACCACCTTCGAGAATCATGAAAGTCAAAAGAATTGCCGAAGTGTCACGGATCTGTCCAACTGCTGGAGAGCTGGCGAGAAGCAACGCGAATCTAATTGATCGGAGGACACACCTGTTCTCACACGTACTACCAACACTAACGTGTTGCTCTAGTAATCTACTGGGACTGATCGATGCAACAAGCGACGCGGAGGACTCTCCAGCAGAGGACACGAGTGTCGAAGAAGAGGGCGAAGTTTTCTCACCTTGATCTCCATGTGGCAAGACACATGGCCGACCGTTTTGTCCGTCAACTCCGCAGGCTCGCCGGGTAACGACTGACAAACTACCGCCGTCCCCTCCGTCTGCCCGTAGATCGTCTGGCAACCCATCAAACAAAGGACTGGTATGCAAACCTGCCGGCCGGACTCTTGCTACCCCGACGGACGTAATAAACGCCTGGGGGCCGGGCACCGACACACGCCGGCCGGGACCCGATTTCGCGAAAGGGAACGTTTATTGATCGCGAGACCGAGGAGCGATATTTCTCCTCGCGGAATCGTATTTATGCATACGGACCGAGGAGTTGCTCGGTGCAAGAGATATGTGCATAGATAACGGGCCAGCGCGCGACGCGTTATACACGGCCCTTTCCCTCCGCCGCCACCGCCGCCGCCGAATCAGTGCCTGCCACGTGTGTCGACGACCTTTCGCGCGATACCGGGTCTACGGGCAACCCGAATATATTTCGACAATTACGCCGATAAATGGAAACCGGTCGGCCTCTGTTATTAGCCGCGCCTGTTACTCCGTGTAAACGATCCGGCCGAAAATAAATTCTCACCGGCGGAACGCGTCGCCGTTCGACGCTGACTCGCGCAAAAACCGACGGACGGTTTGCATACCGGATCCCGCGAGCCATTGTCCGCGGCTGATGTATTCCATTGCCGTTCGATGACTTGTGCCCTGTGTATCGGCGGTCGACGGTCGTAGCTTACTTTGCCTTCCTGATAGTTCCATTTAACGCTAGAACTATCGAGCATTTAACTTTTGCACTCGAGAGGTGACTCTCAGTCACCACTAAATTTGACACAGCAAAATTATAATCTTATGTGTAACACTGTGGTTCGTATACTGTATCGAAATGCGACGTATTGAAATAAAATAGCTGTGATTCTTAACACGTTGAATGCCACGCGATTCCATGGAGCAAAATACACAAAACGGAAAAAATATATTATTAAGTCATTTGATTGAATTCCATTATTATTACTGCACGTTCGTGTAGTCGAATGTCACTGCATTGGGTAGCGTTATTTATAATATAGAATTGTTTCCAAATAATCGTCGTTTAATTGAATGAACCATAGTAATCGGATTTGGTTGGCGGTCACCGGTGACCCCCATGGCATTCAACGTGTTAATTTACGTACGTTTTCTCGTTTGTTAGTGTCGAAGAACGTCGTTTACATCTGATTGTGAAATACTGCAGATTTCTAGTGAAAAACTCTCGAGTGCAAAGAGTTAATACGACTGATATATGATGCTTATAAAAACTGTGACAGTAGATTGTTCTCAGTTTCTTCAGAGATTCGTTACAGTATTCAAGTGGAATTCTCAAGATCATCTCGAGTATTGAATGCTTCTATCAATAATTGCGGAAGCGGCAAATAAAAACCGGTTCTTTTCACCGATACGCTAGTTCTAGTGTCAATTAGACGATTACGTCTTCGGAAGGTTGAATCATTGAAAGATTAGATTAGATTAAATTAGAATTGATCGATTGCTCGAGGATTTGTAAGCACGTTCGCCGGCGTTCTCGGTGGCATCGGCGGCCACGAGGAATACGCGTGTAGTTAGCGAAATAATGGGAACGGATCATCTTAGGGACGATTTAACACGGCGAGATCGTTGATTACCTTCATCTTGTCGAAATGAAAACACTCCCGTACCCTCCTGAAGAGCTCCGGCGCGGCAGGGGCTCCCCCGGTGACCCCGGAGAACAGCCTTATTGGCGGAGGCTGGAGCCGTTGATGGGCGTCGAGAAGATTGATCTAACGCAAACGGTTTCGCGTCTTATTTGAACAGGGCCAACGAGAATTTTATTGCCTCCTCGTAAAGGCGACGCGGAGTCGTCGGTTTCTTACCCACATCGTCGGCGTCCCATAAGTGATCTCGCATTTCTCCTTCAGCATCGCCTCTATCGACTTGACCGGGTTGAACGAGGGCGACTCCAGCACGATGCTGGAACCGGATTGAAGCATCACCAGGCTCTTAATGATGGCGAACACGTGGAAGAACGGGACGTTCAGGCACGCCTTATGCTCCGCTCGAATCTCCGATCTTTCTAAGACCTAATAAACCAGGGAATGGAAAGTAAATTGCAGTTATCGCGTGATATTCGATAACCGAATCATTGGGAGATGGAACTACCAAATAGACGCCGAAGATCTTTTTACCCTCGAATGGAAAACTGAGGTTGCCGTCGAATCGAACGGTGTATGAGAATCCTAATAGAAAACGAAAGGAGCGCTCGTCTAATGAATCGGTGATCTTCAATCCTCTAATAGGGAAAGATATAATTAAGTACGTAACATTTAAGTACTACAAGTTTACCTATCCAGAGTCTTCTAGAGGATGATAAATCAATAGTACTTTACCAGTTAGGTACGACAGCGACGACCAGATGCAAAATCGATAATCATTAACTTAACAAGTATCTTACAGCTAGAGTATCAAGGTATCCACAAAGCACAAAGTACCTAGAATTTAAATGCCACAAGTTTAACATTTAACTACCCGTAGTCTCCTAGGGGATGACAATTCCGAGAATCACTGAATGAAGTGGTATCGAACTATCGACAGTGCTTCACCGGTTAGGTCCAAACGCAAAATCGATAATCATTAACTTAACAAGTATCTTGGAACACCAAGGTACCCAGCCAGCATCCTACATTCTCGACGCATCCGCGAACTCTCTTACCTGTCGCGAATTATTCACCACGGATCTATGCGTCAACAGCGCCGCCTTCGGTCTCCCAGTGGTTCCCGACGTGAACAGTATGGCACACTCGTCGGAACACGACACCGCGTCCTGTTCCGCGGCGATCGCCTCGACCTCGATCCTCGCCGCGAGCTCCTCCACGTCGCAGTACCGTCGAGTGCCCCTGCGAAGATCCACGGGCGTGAGATCGATCGGCCGGCGCGTGTATCGAAGCTTAAGTTCGGAAACGGCCGGGGTAGCGCGCGCCGGCCGCAGCCATTAACCTAATTGCGCGTCACGGTGATTCCGTTCACGGCGGCGGGGCGATTATTAATCAAATCGGGCCGGATGATCGGGCGAAAGTTGGAGAAATTACGAGTCCGCCGGGGTTGGAAATAGATTGGCCGGATGGGCGAGCTCCGGACGATCAATCGGATCGCAGGTGCCGCGAGCGGGCCTCGAGCCGCTGAAAGACGGGCGCCGCGTTTTTAGGAAATTGCCGCTGCACTACGAGTAATTTGTTCCCGCTCGCGCCTTCCACCCGCAATCCGTTCCGCGACACGTGCTGCCCGGGGGATCGCCGAGACGCCGAAACGGCGAACCGGGGTCCGTCAGCTGGCAGCGATTTGCCGGGGCGCGAGGTTGCATGCCGCAGATCGCGGCAATTACACCGAGCACGGCCGATTATCGCGGTCAACAGGCTACGTGTCCGTTTAAGGGGATCGTGTACTTCGAAAGCCGCCTCGAGAAGTTTCCGAGAGCTCGCTATCGGAATTTCAAACTCGTTCATCTCGGCGAGCAAGCTGCTCGAGATACTTTTATCGTGACGCAGTAATTTAATCTACTTTCACAAGGACGATTGATATTCTCCATTCACCGAGGCGATAAATCCGTTCGAGATGTACCGGATTTACCCTCCGACTGCGGCGGACTTTGAACCGTGCCATACGGCAGCGATTTAGTCGTATACGGGAATGAAAACTTTTCGAGTAATATTTTTAACCGTCCACGGTGCTGTAAGAGCAATCTCTTTGAACGTCTATGTAACAAGCGCGAGTTTCCCGAGTGTCGATGGCAGTCGACTAGTTCAGCGCGAAGGATACCATTCCGCTCGGCCGGTTGTAGAGCAGCGCAGAAACCGAGGAGACGCGAAAGGGAAAGCGCGCTGGATCACGCGGAACGTTTACACGACAATAAAACCGCGACGCAGTGATTAACCCGTCCTGGACGTGCCCGGGTACACGGGCTACGCGTCGACGGTGGCCGACGGGCACGCCGTTGCACGCGATATTCATGACTCACGGGACCGCGGCCGAGCGGAGAACGATCGAGCGGCGGCGAGCGGCCAGCCGGCGAATACATTAAAACTGGCCGCGGCGCGATCGACCTCGCCCGATCCGGACTTATCAGGAGAAACGGCCTTTCGCTCTGCGACGAATTTACCTTCCGCGGAGGGTCGGCCGCGTTCCCAGTTCCCCCCGGCCCCCGCGATGGCCCGATACGGCCGCGTTTCCTAAGGACGAAGGATTTACTGGTGACTCCGTCCCGCTATCGACCCGCCCTAGCCGGATATCCAAGAGTTATCGCGCGGCGTCCCCGTCCCCTCGCTCGAATTAGACAGAATTCCAAGGGGACGCGTTTATATCATTCGCGGGAGATAAACGGCCGATCCGGAGCCGGCTCGTTTCGGATCTTTCGGAGTGTTTCGCGCTCGAACGGTTCCTTACGCCACGTGATCCCTCGACGCGATGATTATGTGCTCGAAATTCGGGCAGGACTGCTTCGCCTGCAGCAGCATGCTCGGGTAATCCTGCGTCTTGAACCTGTCCGGCGATATCACCGCTTTGATGCCCACCTTCTCCAGGCAGTACGTCATCTCGCCCAATTGGTACGCCGAGTTCAGGGGCACGCAGATGAAGCCGGCTCTGAGGCAGGCCCAGAAGGTTGTCAGCCACTCCGCGGTGTTCGGACTCCATATACCCACGCGATCGCCCTTCCTCAGGCCCAGCTTCTTCAGACCCGCCGCGAATCTGTCCGCGCGTCGCAGCAGCTGCGAGAACGTTAGACGAACGTTTTGGTCGACGGAGATCAGGCACTCTTTGTCCGGCCATCTCTCCGACGCGGTGTCCATCAGTTGTCCCACGGTGACGTCTATCAGCGGCACGCTGCCTCCGTTCGAGATGTACGACAAGTTCTTCCCGGGCCCGTGATTGAATCGCCTCTGTCGCATGGAAACGTGACGCAACTCCGAGGCTCCGGCGCGATCTGCATGAGAAGTTAAATAAGTTTATGTAACTTTCGCGATTTCCGCGGGTCGAGCACTCACCGCGCGACTGTCCCGATGCCAAGGCGCGTCCATGAAAGTGGTAGCTGGTGCCCGCGGGCAAGGCTCTGCTGGCGAACGTGCGCAGCATTTCTTTGGCGGAGCTGTTTACTCGACGTCCCGTTGTCCCGAATGCTGGATACAAGACTCCGAACGAGAACATCAAGCGCCCGCGATTCGCTGTTTACAACGCGCGGCCCGTTGATTTGCTCGCATGCGACACGCTGTGCGATCCGAACGTCAGCCGGCCGTCAACTATCGAGCGCCGCATCGACCACGTTCGGCTGATTCGCCGACGACAGGCGTATGTATATATATACGTAGTGTCAGATTCTTGTACAATCGGCTGTGATTGTTGATAAGTGCTTCTGACACCATCAGCGCCGTTAATGAATGCGATGTACAGATCAAGGCTAGCCACTGCTTGTTATGCGCTGTACATGGATGCGCTTGTATATTTTAGAGCTTCCTACGTCATTGCGAGATACATTTTTAATTATCGGAAAGTGTGACTGCTTAATAACTGGTCTGCATCGCGAATAGTAATTAGAGAGCGGTTGAGTAATCGATCCTTGAAACCTCGGCCTCGTGCTTTTTAAGCTCTCGACGTTTCACCTCGGTCTCCCGAATGTAGACGTCTGTTGGTGACGTCTATAAATTTATTTTTGATTGCTGAAGCGAAGACATTCGTGAAATTTAGGTATTACAACGGAGTGTGTTAGTTGGGCGTTATCAAAGCGCACGGTTATTGGGCGGAGATTACGGGAACCCTGGGATTCCACGAACCCAAATGTTATGTAATGCAGTGTTTACGGTATGCAAAATGTCTTTGTAAATCGTCTCTGATACGCTTACCGATAGCTGAGTCCTAGACATGTATACTTAATGGAAATTTTATCATCGGTCATAATTATTCTCCTTTATACGATATTTCCTCGACGTACACTACAAGTACACGATATCTATGTTTAACTAGTGTTCAACAATAACCGAACACAGCAGGTACAAGGTTCCTTCCCAGCCGTGCAAAAGCTCTGTAACTCCAATGCCCAAAATATTACAAGTCAAGTTTCAACTTGGCAGTTGAACAATTACAGCTTCCGTTAGCCATGCGCCACATAAATATGATTATTTCAGATCGCTGTCATTTAGTTCAATTCAGTGTTTCCATGGTTTCGACTTTCTTAAAAACACGCGTTGACGCGAAATTTTGCCGTAGTCAAAGGGTTAAAGTGTGCACGTACAATGTGTATAATTACGTCATTACGACGTAGCACACGAGAAAGATTGCTTCTAAAAAATTTCAAACCTCAGGCCGAACGGCCCTCGGCGATATTAACACAAGAGGGTAGCTAAATTCCGTCCTATCATCATACTCTAGTATCCGCTATCCTTCGGCAATAAACGATCATACGCAACAACAGGCAGAAAATCTCTTGGGGGCTGAGAACGCCGCGAGGAGGGATGATAGCGATGGTAAATCGCCGGTGGTAGGAGGGCGGTCGCGGTTGAAGTCTAAAACCGTCGAGCCGAGATAGGTGGATGGCGTGCCTTGCGGGCCGCCGCCGGAAGTCGCGTGTCGACGTCGACCATGCCACACCGCCGTACCACCGTTTCCCCACCCCTGCTCGCAGGGGTGGCGGCCGTTCCCGGCTTCGCCGCCGCCACCGCCGCTCCGCTGCTCCGGCGGCACCGATCCGCATTTTCTTAGCTTCCGAGGAAGCGAGGCCTACGGTTAGGCCGGGTCAGGCCGAGAGGGCACGCGTCGTTGGTGCGCAGGCTGGCTTTCGAGCCCGCTCGCCGGTCTACGTTCTCGTTCGTTTTAGTGTAGAACAACCGGGTCGGCTACGCGGGGCGCGGTGGCGTGACAGTGATTGGTCGATCCCTGTTCCCCAGCGAGAGGGTCGAGGGAAAGGCAGGCAACCCTCTCGCGAGCCCTCCGCCGCGTAACGTCTTCAGAATCGCCAGGATAAACGCGCGGTTAGCACGCGCTCGGTCGTAGCTCACAGTCTCCGGCTGGCAGAGCAAACATTCTGTTCCGACTTCGCGCGGGGGGTAGCCGGCAGTGATCTCGGATAGAAAGGAAGGATCAGCGGGAGAGCAGAGGGAAGTCGCGGCGAGGATTCCCTTGCGGCGAATCGACGGAGGAAGGAAGCGGTTCCGTGAATCGCGAGCGATGCCCGGGAAGCGCTCTACGATGAGAGAGCCGCGCAAGAGGTACCATGAGCAGCAGTAACAGCAAGAAGCCGTCGGGCGGCAAGGACGAGAAGAAGAGTCCGTCGAGCAAAGAGGAGAGCCCGGTCGCCGCGAAGGATGACGCCGCCGGAGGACCGTCCTCGACGGGAAGCGCCGGAGGAGCAGCGAGCGCGGATGGCGCGCAGCCCGGTAGCAAGCCAGGATCGGCCGGGGCCACCGCCAGGGAAGCCTCGCAGAAGCTTCTCGGGCTTACCGCGCGCGGAGAATGGGCACCGGTGGACCAGCTGCTCAAATCTCTGGAGAAGGCGGTGCAGAACGCGGGGGAGGACGGGAATGTCACTCCTCTGACGGGCGTCACGGACCCGGTTAGTCGGATCGAGGGCAAAGATCGACGAACAAACTCGTTACCGATCCGTTGTTTTCCAGACGACGGGCATGACGCCGCTGATGTACGCGGTGAAGGACAACCGCGCGGGCCTGCTAGACCGGATGATCGAGCTGGGAGCGGACGTGGGCTCGAGGAACAACGCAAGTATCACGACTAATTAGACTTAATCGGCGGGACACGGTCTCGCCGCGCGCGAATAGTTGCAGCGAACGGATTCGAAGAATGCTTCCATCGATCCCTCGCGGTTCCGCCGAATTCCATGAATTCGCGGGCGAAACCGCGCCGCGCCGGCTGTCGTTTCGTGCTCGCGAGCAAGGCGGCCGGCGGGTACGCTTTTATAAATAAGCGTTCGCGGCCGCGTTACGTGGCACCGACACGTAATTTCCAGCAGCCTGCGTGGCCGGGGTTGGTGCAGACCACGGAACGTGTACTGTTAACGATCTCCATGTAATCCGTGTCCCGAGTCCGTATGAAGGAGGGTAAGATCGCGTGAAGGAGGGCCAAGGCCAAGGGGTTCCGGCGCGGTTCGCGAGAAAGTAAGCGGGCGCAGGCGGCAAGTAGGCCGGCGAGTCACTAGGGCGAAAAAGTGGTTCGATCGTTCTGGCCGATAACGAGCCGTTCTTTTCTTTCAGATTTCTATCGACGCGTTTCTTCGTTGCCGCGATCACCGATTACGCGGCGACGCCCACGCGGCCCCTAAGCATCGGCGAGCCCTTGGCCGACCAACCTCTGGAGGAAACGTCCCACCGCGGCCGCGGTATTTCCCCGTTACTCGGTCGCGGTTCCGAGAATCTCGGAAGCTTCGGGAAAAAGTTGACGCGGCCGTCGTTGAGCTCGACCTAACGAGGCTAATCGCGAGCCCAGGGATCGCCGGCCCCACCCACGCTCGCCCCGACATCGTTTTCGAACCGTTCGACCCCGGAGAAAACCGTTCGTTTCATTCTGGGCGCGGCGAAACGCGATTTATTACCGGGCTTCCATACCCCGCCGCACCGGAGGCGAATCTTGCCGATTTATACTTCGTCCACGACCACCGCCGCTCTATCGCCGCGGCCACAGCCGCCATTTACACGGCTACCCGCAGCGATCCCGTCCGATAGGGTGGAAGTAACCGCGAAGGGTGAATGGAAGTAGCGCGTCGATCATCCGCGGGACGATTCGTTGGCCCTGACGAGATTGCCCCTCGTTTTTCACAGGACAATTACAATGCCCTCCACATCGCGGCCATGTACTCCAGGGAGGACGTCGTCAAGCTGCTGTTGTCGAAGCGGGGCGTCGATCCGTACGCCACCGGCGGGGTACGCTTCTCCATTCCCTCGATCGCTCCGATTCGGATTACAAGGAGAATGACAGATAGAAAAGATTTGCCTTTCAATGAAACGCTATGGACATTGTAGTGGATATCTAGGAATGGAAAACCTTAAGACTTTTTCCACGATGATCCTCGGTTTTCGAAGAGAATGAATTTTAAGCTTGTATGCTACTGTAATTATAATTCAAAGGAAAACAGGAAAACGGAAAAAATGAATTCCAAGCATGGAGATTCGGAATTACCTTCGGTGTCATAGCTAGAGATGCTACCACTGTTGCCATACCTTGGTACACTAGCCTTCTTATAATCATCTTATTACAGTGACATACAAATTTGAAACTCATTTGTTTCGAAAACGAAGGACCATTGTCCAAAAAGCCACGAGAGTTTCTCATTTCCAGATACGTATTATAACATACACAAGGTTTCATTGAAACAGATTTTTACGACTGGCCCTCTCCTTGTTAGATCGCAACGACGCGATAGAACTCAGTCGTCGCTACTTAAAATCATGGACATCTTGATCGAAACTTTTTCACCTTGAGTTCCTGGCTCGTAAGGTTTCCATTGTTAACCCTCGGACTGCCAGCTGTTCATATTTTCCCCCGATTCGAGCGGGTCTTCGCATTACCATGCTGAAATGCATCGAGTATCGATCAAATATGCGATTAAATATATAGTTCTTTTACGACGGCAATAAAAGTTACTTCAAACGAGCCGATAACGTTTTACAACTGCGCGGGGCACGCCGGCTTCCTCGGCAGTCCGAGGGCTAATTCGTTTTAGAGTACAGAGTCGTAGGAGATTAGCGGAATTTCTCTGGGAATTAGCGGAATTAGCGATTCCAGATTACAGTACAACACTCCGGCGTAATCAATCTGAATAATAAAATGTTGGAGCACAGCCGAGGCAGCAGACCGCGGTGCACCTGGTCGCGTCGAGGCAAACGGGCACCGCAACCTCGATCCTCCGCGCGCTGCTGGCCGCCGCGGGACGCGACATCAGGCTGAAAGTCGACGGGGTAAGATCGGAAACCCTCCACGGAATTTTCCAATTCCCTGATCCGACGATATCCTTCGATCCCGAGCCGAGACCGACGGTCTCCTACCACGGACGGTTCCCCTATCGCCCGGCGTTCCCCGATTGCCGGCCACATTTCTCGCGTGACGCGAATGATGCCCCGGGAATATCACTGCCTGGTACCGAACAGCTGTCATAATTCTCCGCCGGCTCGCTTCTTCTTCTTCTCTCTTAGCTCGCCCTCCCATTCCCATCCGTTCCCCTTCCTGCCCCACACAGAGGCAAGCACACACAACTTTCCTAATGTTCGTCGTCCCGTAAACGAGCGGGACCGGGGCGATTCGGCTCGCCGACGTCGATTTTTACGTCCTCGTACCAACGACCGCGACTATTTATGAAAATCGTACTTTTATCCGTTACCTCCACCACGCGCGAAACGTTCGTCGATGGATATCTCCTATTTTCTCCCGGTTCTTCCCTGAGAACTCCTCCCGCAACACGTCCGATGCGCTGTTTCGCAGAAAGGGAAGATACCGCTGCTCCTGGCCGTGGAGGCTGGCAACCAGTCCATGTGTCGAGAGTTGCTGGCTCAACAGGCACCTGATCAGCTCCGCGCTACCACGCCGACCGGCGATTCCGCTCTTCATCTGGCTGCTAGGAGGAGGGACATCGACATGGTGCGGATACTGGTGGACTACGGAGCAACGGTGGACATGCAGAATGTACGTGGCACCGGTCGGGAGGAGGTTTAGCCTCGGAGGAAGATGGGAAAAGCGACTTTACCGTTTCAGGGCGAGGGGCAAACCGCGCTGCACATAGCGAGCGCGGAGGGCGACGAGACTCTTGTCAAGTACTTCTACGGAGTCAGGGCGTCCGCGTCCATTACCGACCATCAGGATCGCACTCCGATGCACCTGGCAGCCGAGTACGGACACGCGTCCATAATCGAGCTGCTGGCGGATAAGTTCAAGGCCAGCATATTCGAGAGGACCAAGGACGGGTCCACGCTGATGCACATCGCCTCGTTGAACGGCCACTCGGAGTGCGCGACGATGCTCTTCAAGAAGGGCGTTTACTTGCACATGCCAAACAAACGGGGCGCCAGGTCGATCCACACCGCCGCCAAGTACGGTCACGTCGGGATTATAAGCACCCTGTTGCAGCGGGGCGAGAAGGTACGGTGCTTCCTGTGGATTCCTCGTGTTGTCTCGGAGCTTGTTACAGTTTCTAGAGGGCTATCGAATCGAACGGATATTATACGTGCCTCGGAAGCTCGTGTGGACGGCATCTTTCTTCAACGTACTGTCCACAGATATCTTTTCATGTCTCCTTCGAACTGTGCTCTGTGCCGCACTTGCTCTTTCGATTGAGAAGTGAAAAGATGTCTGAGGACAGTAGACGAAAGTTCCGAGGAGTTGAACAGATGCGATCGGTTTACCTGCTGCATAGGTGGACGCAACGACGAACGACAATTACACCGCGTTGCACATAGCCGTGGAAAACGCGAAACCTGCGGTGGTAGAGACGCTACTAGGTTACGGGGCCGAGGTTCACGTGAGGGGTGGCAAGCTCCGCGAGACGCCTCTGCATATAGCCGCGAGGGTGCCGGACGGTGACAGGTGCGCGTTGATGTTGCTGAAATCCGGAGCGGGGCCGAACCTGACCACCGACGACGGACAGACGCCTGTGCACGTGGCAGCCAGCCACGGGAACTTGGCTACCTTGCTGCTCCTGCTGGAGGATGGCGGTGATCCCATGTACAAGTCGAAGGTAGAAATCCTCGTTGCTCTAACGCGAAACAGCTTTCTCCTGTTCTGGTGACGCAGTAAGGTTTCCCCTGTAGAACGGCGAGACTCCGCTGCACTTGGCCTGCAGAGGGTGCAAGGCCGACGTGGTGCGCCACTTGATCCAGTTCGTGAAGGAGAAGAAGGGTCCGGAAACGGCGACCTCGTATGTCAACAGCGTGACAAACGAGGGCGCGAGCGCCCTGCATTACGCCGCGCAGATCGAGCCGTCGGAAGTGAAGACTCCCGGCGACGACCGGGCGGTGGTTCGCGCGCTGCTCGAAGGCGGCGCGGACGTGTCCCTGCAAACTAAACAGGCGCAGGAGTCGGCGTTCCACTACTGCGCGCTAGCGGGTAACAACGAAGTGCTGTCCGAGATGATAAGTCGCATGTCGGCCACCGAGGTGCAGAAGGCCTTGAACCGTCAGAGCGCGGTCGGCTGGACGCCGTTGCTCATCGCCGCGCACAGGGGACACATGGAGCTGGTGACCAACCTGCTGGCGAATCACGCGAGGGTCGACGTGTTCGATCTCGAAGGGAGATCCGCGCTTCATCTGGCCGCCGAGCACGGCTACCTGCAGGTCTGCGACGCGCTGCTCGCGAACAAAGCGTTCATAAACTCGAAGTCGAGGGTCGGCCGGACCGCGCTGCATTTGGCAGCGATGAACGGCTACTCGCATCTCGTCAAGTTCCTCGTGCAGGACCATGGCGCTGCGATAGACGTTCTTACGCTGAGAAAGCAGACGCCTCTTCATTTGGCGGCCGGCGCCGGTCAGCTGGAAGTTTGCAAGCTGCTGCTGGAGCTAGGCGCGAGCATCGACGCGACCGACGATCAGGGACAGAAGCCGATTCACGCGGCGGCGATGAACAATTACGCGGAGGTCGCTCAGCTGTTCCTCCAGAGACACCCGAGCCTCGTGATGGCGTGCACCAAAGACGGCAACACTTGCGCCCACATCGCGGCGATGCAGGGCAGCGTGCGCGTGATCGAGGAGCTGATGAAATTCGATCGCCAAGGCGTGATCTCCGCGAGGAACAAGTTGACGGAGGCGACGCCGCTTCAGCTGGCGGCCGAGGGAGGTCACGCGGAGGTGGTGAAAGCGTTGGTCAGAGCAGGTGCGTCCTGCGCGGATGAAAATCGAGCCGGTTTCACTGCGGTTCATTTGGCCGCGCAGCATGGACACGGCCAGGTACTCGAGGTGATGAGGTCCTCCACCTCTTTGCGCATATCCAGCAAGAAACTCGGGGTCACCGCTCTCCACGTCGCAGCTTACTTCGGACAAGCTGGTAAATCTCCTCCTACGATCGAGCAAATGCATCCTGTCCGCAAAGAATCTGACAAGGGAACATTTTCAGCACACGTCGATGTTAATAGAACTAATGAGACATAATTCTCGAGAAAATATTTTACGCGTATTCTTTCTTATCGGTCAAATTGATCATTTCCAGGCTTTCAATTTAATAAGAAAACCCCTCTTCCACACCCTCTAGTTTCAAAGATATAAAAAATCAACTCTCAACTTTGAGGGGTGTTTTAACCCGTTCAAAGTGGACGTTGGCTAAGAAAAAGCAGTGTCAAATATTTTCTTAAGACCTACATCTCGCATAGGTTTCCTCAAAATCGATGCGTGCTGGTTGGAAAGGTACCCTCGCATAAGTGAATGAACTTTCGCAGATACCGTGCGCGAGTTGCTAACCCACGTGCCAGGGACAGTAAAGTCCGATCCGCCAACCGGCGGCACGCTGGTTGGCGAGCTGGGAACGGAATCCGGGATGACTCCGCTGCATCTGGCCGCTTATTCCGGGAACGAGAACGTGGTTCGATTGCTGTTGAACTCGGCTGGCGTGCAGGTACTGTAAAAATAAGGGTCTCCGTGAGAAATATGTCCAGGAACCAACGGACTGACGCGTACGTGTTACTTGCCCGGAAAGGTGGAGGCTGCTACCACGGAGAACGGCTTCAATCCTCTCCACTTGGCATGTTTCGGCGGTCACATCACGGTGGTGGGCCTGCTGCTGAGCCGATCCGCGGAGCTGTTGCACAGCTCGGACCGTTACGGGAAGACCGGTCTCCACATCGCGGCGACCCACGGCCACTACCAGATGGTCGAGGTGCTGCTCGGCCAGGGGGCGGAAATAAACGCGACGGATAAGAACGGCTGGACGCCGCTGCACTGCGCCGCCCGCGCCGGCTATCTCGACGTTGTTAAATTGCTGGTGGAGAGCGGCGCCTCGCCGAAGAGCGAGACCAATCTCGGCAGCGCGCCGATCTGGTTCGCCGCCTCCGAGGGTCACAACGACGTGCTCAAGTATCTCATGGAGAAGGAGCACGATACCTATGCCCTGATGGAGGATAAGAGGGTGAGCGAAGTCTTTCTTCGAGTCTCGCTTCTACCTCCGCCTTCTCCCCTCCCCGCACCCCTTGCCCACGTAGAGGCCGGTCTCGCGATCCGCGCACGGAATTCGAAAAGTTTCGACGCAGGCAATGATCATCGCTCGGTCGAGCCAATAAATTTTCGGCGAACGGCCACGTTAGATAGCTGGCACGCGATCCGTGAGCAGCTTTCTAGCCGCGTGACCTCCCGCTCTTGCCGGTAAACGATTGACGCGTTCACTGCTGCACCGATCTTCGATGACTTTCGTTCGAGGTTGTACCAGATATTGAAACGCGAGATTCAATCGTGGAAGTACTCGAATGTTTCGAGTAACCTGCGACGAGTTAGATGGCAATCGTTGCTCTTTCAGTTCGTGTACAACATGATGGTCTGCAGCAAGAGCAACAACAACAAGCCGATCGAGGAGTTCGTGTTGGTGTCCCCGGCGCCGGTGGACACCGCCGCGAAGCTGTCCAACATCTACATGAAGCTGTCGGAGAAGGAGAAAGAGAGGGCGAAGGATTTGATCGCAGCCGGGAAGCAGTGCGAGGCGATGGCCACGGAACTGTTGGCCCTGGCTGCGGGCGCAGACTCGGCTGGGAGGATTCTGACGTCGATGGACCGGAGGAACGTGGAGTTCTTGGACGTGCTGATCGAGAACGAGCAGAAGGAGGTGATCGCGCACACGGTGGTGCAGAGGTACCTGCAGGAGCTGTGGCAGGGCAGCTTGAACTGGAACGCGTTCAGGACGATCCTCCTGTTCATCGCGTTCCTCGTATGCCCGCCTGTCTGGGTGGTGTTCGCTCTGCCTCTCGGCCACAAGTACAACAACGTACCAATCATCAAGTTCATGTCGTACCTGACGTCCCACATATATCTGATGGTCTTCCTGTTGCTGGTCGGCATAATTCCTATATACCCGGTGGTCAGGGCGAGCCTGCTGCCCTACTGGTACGAGTGGTGTCTGTTGGTGATGCTGTCCGGGCTGTTGCTCTTCGAGCTGACCAATCCCAGCGACAAGAGCGGCCTGGGCTGGATCAAGTTAGCGGTGCTGCTGTTCGGAATATTCGGCGTAGCCTTCCATCTGATGGGCTTCGTGATCGTCCACCGACCTTACTGGCCTACTCTGCTCTACCTCAGGAACCAGCTGTTCGCGTTAAGCTTCCTGCTAGCCTGCGTACAGATCCTCGACTTCCTGTCGTTCCATCATCTGTTCGGCCCCTGGGCGATCATCATCGGCAACCTGATGAAGGACCTCGCGAGGTTCCTCGCGGTGCTCGCGATCTTCGTGTTCGGGTTCTCGATGCACTTCGTCGCGCTGAACCAGGCATTCAAGAACCAGTCGATCCAGGACGCCCGCGCCGACGACAAGAAGAAGAAGGGCGCCTTCTACGACGGTAAGTGTCGACGCACGTGATCCTTTCGACGTTGCCAGGGGAAACGGAGCGAGACTCCAAGCCTCCCGCCCTCACTTCTACCCTTGTCTTTATCCCGTCGGATACGATATCGCAGCTACTCCGATCTAGAAACG